ATTCATTGATAATAGACATTAATAACCGACGATTTTTATCTAACGATTGATCACCCAAAAAATTCTAATGATAATATATGAGCATATTTTTATGTATCGAAAGACGATGATATAATTAAACAGTTCTTCTAAAAGAAATTATTCAATTAAATATGTTAAGAGAAAAATTGGAATTGTAAATAATGGATTATAATATATATACCTATTCATTCCTTCAGATGTCACTATAAACATTAGTAAATATATCATACGATAGGAATCTAACATTATTCTAAAAAGTGTATTGTCTAACGTTTGAAGGTCGAGTCTTCACACTTACAAAGTCTAAAGTATATATATGTATATATTCATTGTCGTCAATAGCTCAATAATATTACTCTTCTCATGAATTTGAGATAAATTATCAACCGGAATCAATTCGAAGTAGATGAAACAGCTACAAAAAAAAGGAATTTTAGATTAGTTTCCGTTAGAAATAATGTATTATTACAATCTAGGTCAAGAGTGAATATTTCTCCGACGTCAATCGATTCCAAGAAACCAAAATACTAATTCAGGAAAAAAATCGTCGCCATTTGTTTTGCCGCAAAACAAGTTGCAGCAATGAAAACTCTTTGCAGAGCTAGAATAATTAGTTGGTTTGATATGGTGAGACCAAAGCCGATAAGACTTGTCAAAACATTTCCTATTTTGTCTTTACTAAATCATATAATATATCAAGGCATTTTACATCTGCTTATTCCATTTGATTCGCTGTCAACAATATCAACCAAAACCATAGCATAAATTCTAAATATAAAAACGAGTATTACTAAAATAATCATAAATAATTCAACTAAATCTCCCCTCATAGCACAAGACAACCCCATATTAGAAGACTCTCCCAGAAGGTATGATATGCGCGACGTAATAGAAGATCCTCAGATTTTAATTATGAATGACCTTGGGAAACCCTGGATAACCAGGGAAATCATTGAGAAAATTTTGTTGCTAAAAGTTATGGGAGAATATGTCATAATAGCAGACCCTCGAGTCTTTTATTGCGAGGGGCTTAAAATGTTGTATTTTCAAAATTTTTGCTTTTCTTATCAATATCTATCAGGTTTTATACATGTAGCTTCGTGCAATTGTTCGATATAACGAGCATTATATCGTTCTCGCTGCAGTTCTTTTTTTCAACTCTTCATTCTTCCGGGTTTAATCGTCTGGTGATGGGATTAGTTTGAGATAAAAAGAGAGTTTCTAAAAGTTGAAAAAAAAATATTGATTAAAAGGTGACTGAATTGCGAATACTGTACAAGATGGTCATGTTATACTATGTTGGTAGTGATACATTCATCATCTGCACCAGTATGTGTAATTATAATTGCATAATAAAAGGTCTACACAATGTTCATTACATTCATTCAAAGCCCTATGTAAATATACGCCTTCAATCCCCAAGGAGTTAATATCTTCATTGCATTTACTAAATATTATGGAATAATTTAGACTATGCAGACGTAAATAGGTTGAACATCCAAGAAATTATGTATCATTGATAGGAAAATTTTTAATTTTATCTATTGTTCAGGCCAACTAAACTGACAAAATATACGGAAATAGTTTTTTTTCCTTTTTCATTGACTATTTCACTTCTATACAAAGAAGTTTCATCATAGTAATAAGTACAGAAAATTACTTTTGAATGAATTTATTAAAAGTAGATTTATATTATTAGCCGCGAATACTTATACTTTAATTATTTAGACACGTCGTTCGAAAATTAAAAATAACTTTTTCACTTTTCTGACAGACGACAGATGAAATAATTTTTATGTAAGCTATGTTTAGCATAATAATCATGACACATACATGATATACAGTAAAATTAATTAGAATATTATTTTGATATTTATGCCGACTGATCCGTAGGATTAGATTCAAGGTATTCTCCTTTAAATGAACATATTGATTTGAAGAGTTTTTTTCTAGGTAATTTCGATAAGAAAGAAAACGTTCTAATTACCATTATAATATATAATAATTATGAGTAGCATGAATAGATCTAATTTCTTTTTTTTTGTAAAGATTGCTTCATTATATAACAATAAATAACAATTATTACATTTATCATATAATAATATTGAGCAACCTAGCAGATTAATTGAACTGTAAATAAGAGTGTTTTCATTATTAGTGAAGGAATTATTACACAGGTTATATCTATGGATTTCTTGTAGAAAAGGCTTTTCTATATAATGATCTGGCTTGTTATTTTCTCTTTAGCTTTGTAGTTTTAGGTTTATGGAACATTTATGTCAGCATTATCATGCTGAATAATCTAGACGTCAGAAGTGAAGTGAAGATATAAATGAACAGAACTTAATTTTTCATTCCATACATTATATATAACGTCTAATGCAAAAGTTCCCGCAAAAAAATGTTTTAAAAAGGTCAACGACTTCTAAGATCTTCTTCATATATTCTATTTTAAGGATCACATATTTCGAGAACAGCCACCTGTAAAAAATCTACGTGGGCAGAATTATCTTGTTGAGCAACGTAGTAATTTTATGCTTTCCAGAAAGTATTTACAGCTGTTGTTTTCACCGACTAAATATCTTTGCCCTTCACATATGTTCGTAATACATAAAAGTGAAGTAATATGTGTACGAAGAATTTTGCATTACCCATTATCTGCCATAGTTATGAATTATTATTTCTATGTTAAATAAAAATATAAATCTATCGAATTCAACTGAGAGATCATTGTAATAAGAACTGGTAGGCAAATATTAATGAATAAAAATATAATGTCTTAGGTAAAGTTTTGTACTCAGTGCAAAGATATATACGTTAAATATTAATAAATTAAAAAACAACAGGAAGAATATAGTTCCCCCTTCAGCTATCGTGATTTTCTTTTCTAACATAAAAGTAGGATTCATTTATTACATTCATTTTTATCATGTTTGATGTGGTAAGTAAAGGGAAGTTATTATTATTATTGAAGGGAGTTATTGTCAAATCAATGTTTTATTTTTAGTTTGACATCTTGATTAGTATAGTGCAGAGATCAAATCATGCATCAGTGTGGATTTTTTTGCGTATGAATTTATAAAAGAAAGATAATATATTAATTCCATTTTTTATTACACTTCTATAGCCATGTATTCATTAAAGTATGTATGACTATTGTCGATTTTACCATTGTTAGTATACATTATGTCAATTGAATTAATAAAATAATTGTAGTGTTCAACTATCGCACTTTTGTTACTTATTTATATGACCTTATATTAAGAACGAATATTAGCTATGTAGAGTATCTTCTATACTTTTCAGTAATATCAATTGAATATTATTTATTCATGCTTATCTTTGACCTTATAATCAATATTAAATAATATATTAGTATTCATTAATTATTCCATTGACGTTATTGATACATTACTTACCCACAACTAAGATAATGTTAGTTAAGAATAAAGTGAACTCTTCGGTCTTTTATATAAAATACATATCTATTCAATTAACAAAATTAGAGTATAGAAAATATTTTTCGATAATAGAAAAAAAGAGAAAGTCATGAATTGAAACTTTTCGATTTAATAATTAAAATTTTATCGAGGACAAAAGAAAAAATTTTTAGTCGTAAATGTAAGAATTAGACCTGACGTCATTTCAATAGATATATATCAAGTTATCATTTCATTTACATCCGAATAGAATATATCTTTTATCTTCTTTTTTTTATAAATTCTATTGAGATAAAATTCTGGAAACATAAAGAAATGTATTTAATGGTGTGTCATTAACTCAAAACTACTAATTATTGAAAAGTCATATCAGATAATCTCGCGTATACAATTTTACAGTAAGTTAAAAGTCCTTCAAGACTAATAATGAAGACAAGTACAATTATTGAAATGTCCCTATTTTTAACTTATTGACGAGTAATATCATTATAAGTAGTACGTCTTCATTATGAAAACATGTCAATTACTAGTGTAATCATATTTAGTTTTAAATAAGATAAGTGTACAACTAATTGAGTGTGTTAACAACGAAAAATACTCGTCAAGAATCATTTTATTTGATATACTCTTTTTTATTACTTTTATAGTTCTTCCGTTTACACATTTAATTGACTATCAGGAAAAAAAACGTTTAGTTATTTTGCCCGAGGTCAAAACGAAAAAGAACAAAACAAGGAAAGAAAAGAAATTTTGGACACTAGAATGATTACAAATGTAAGAATGAGTAACAGCTTGTTTGAATGATTGATTACAAAATTGAAAGAAACGAGCAAATTCGATATCTAGGTGATAAATATTTTTGTTAATAATTAATTAAAATATTATTTATGTATGTATAATAAGAAGAGGAAGATATCATACTAAGAAAAAAATGTCAAATACCATAAAAAAAGAAACTCATTAATTTTGTATAACTACTTTCTTTTTTATTGTATATTTGTATCAATGGAAAAGAAATAGAGACCGAGTCGTGTATATATATTTTTTTCTTCTTCTCCTGTTTTTTTTAATTATATATCTGTCTTATTCTTCCTTTTTATGATTAGAATTCAATTGAGATGCGTGCTTTGCTTGACGAAAAGAAAACGACAGAAAACATTCGAAAAACAATTCTAGGCACACATTGATTAGACAATAAAATGATAGATATGAAAAGAAAACAGGCGATCGCATTTACTCATTTCTATACATCGATATCAATAACGTAGACTAGTTTTACAATGAATATTACTGTCATAGACATCATACGCTGGATTTTTCTTTCTTTTTTGTAAAACAACGAAAAGAATATTATATTTTATGATACATTACTTTAGCTTTCATAATTAGTTATATTCTATTTTTGAGCTTCTATATTAAGAAAAAGCTGAGAGCTCTAGTGATTCTCATTTTTTCCTTCTTCTTTATTCAGATGAAATAAAAATCTCAAAGATTTCCTACTGGCAACATATTATAAATTATAAAATCAAAATTAGAAGAATGTCTACTAATGAAAGTAATGTAACACAAGGTCCAATTGAATGGTTTCCTGGTTTACAAATAGCTACTTGTATATTCTATAGTATTATACTTATTGTTGGTATTATTGGCAATATACTAGTTATTGTTATTGTGATAAGATATCGAGATATGCGTAATGCAACAAATCTTCTGTTAACAAATTTATCTATTGCCGATCTATTTTTGTTGATATTTTGTACAGCAGATGGTTATCAACATTTATTTGGAAAAGACGAACATCGATTAGGAAAATTTATGTGTAAGTAATTATCTTAAAAACTAGATATTTTCAAAAAATTGAATCTTTTATTTTTTAGGTAGTTTCGGTCCATTTATTCAAAATGTAACATCAACATGTTCTGTACTGACAATTATGGCAATTAGTTATGAAAGATATGTTGCTATTTGTCAACCACTTAAAGTAAATTCTATTCTTCAAAAATTACTGATAAAATTTTTTTTGTTTCATTAGACATCGACCCCTTGTTTAGCTCTATTTCGAACAGTACCAACAGTTATTTTATTTTGGCTTATATCTTGTTTAATTTCAATTCCTTTTTATATGTATACAAATACTAAACTTGCAGAAACAATATATGACAAAATAATTGATACATGTATGTAAAAAAAAGGCAATGACTGATTTTTATTGTTAAAATTCCTCAATTTATTGTTAGGTTTTACAGATTTTCCTGAGCGTTGGGCTAATATATATTTAATACCGTCTACATTATGTCTCTATTTATTTGTTTTTTTAATGCTTTGTTATTGGCATTTTTCCATATGTTGTATATTATTTAGTCGTGAAGCACTTTTACGTGACAATACAATTTTAACCAGATATCGTCGTCAAGTTGCCCAATTACTTATTGCTTTAATAATAACTTTCTTTATATTAATTTTACCACATAAAATCTGGAGTATTATACAACAACGATTAACTATTGATGAATTTTATAACATGGGTTTTCAACGTCATGCATTTATTATTATTACAACACGCTCATTATTATATCTGAATTCAGCTGTAAGTGTACTTTGACTTAAGGCTAACAACATGTCGACTCTGATCTTTGAATATATATTATCTATATGATTATAGATAATTACTAATATTTACTATGTAAACAGTATTTTGACGACGATAAATTAAATGGCAGGGTTAAGCAAAAGAATGAGTTTTAGGACCGGAATGCAGAATATTTTGTTTTTTGTTGTCTAGTGAATTCGTAAATTTTATTATCATACTTGTTAAGATGAATGAACATATAAATTGGTCTTTAGTAGTATAATAGATAGAACAATACAATTACGTTGACAGAAATAAATATTTATCTTTATTGATTAGATCAATCCATTACTTTATTCCGTCATGTCAACCAAATTCCGTCAAAGTTTTATTTTGTTATGTGATGAATGTCGTCGAACAACAAGACCTCATCATGCTGATGCTGCATATTTTTATAAAGGATATACAGCCAAACAAATTATAGGATCTAATCGACTTCCTGGTGGTGGTGGTACTATATCAACAACAGGAAAAATTTCATATCATCAACCTAACGGAAGTCAACTTCAAGAAAAGAAATCTTTACTTGCAGATAATACACCAACACCAATAACAGGAATTCCAATAGAAGATACAAGATTCTTTTTTCCAGAAACTTTAACACCAATAACAGGAATACCAATACAAGATACAAGATTCTTCTTTCCAGAATCCTTTACTTAAAGTTATACTTTTTTGAAAAAAATTTATAACACGAAATTTTTATTGTATATGTATATATGTTGTTTTGATGGTGTTTAATAATATCTGTGACATTTGACCTAAATACATGTATCTGTTGATTAACGTAGACATAGGAAAAGAGAGATCTTTTAAAACTCATATACAAATTTAATTTTGTCATAATTAATGCATGAAATATTTCCTATTCTCACGTTCGAGAATGTTCTTTGGCAAATAAAATTTTGATTGTAATTTTTCATAATATTTATTTTGTCACGATTTATATCTACATTATTTTCTTTCGTTAATTTTTTGAAAAATGTAAATATCTATTAAGAATTGTTAATCTACATATTCTTTAAGATTATATAAAACGAATGTATTTCTTGTGAATGTACAATTCATTTGGAAAAATATAAAAACATTATGAAACGATTTCACCTCTACTAGAGAATTATTAAATAGCATAGTATGATGTATAAATTTAAAGTACTTTGCAACACTTATCTTGAGCTGAGTATGAGTATACTTATGGAAAATTATTTTTGCTATTAAGTAAACTTGAATTTAGCTGAGAGATATGTTTTTTTGACATTGTTTTCTAAGCATTATATTTTTTTAAATAATGTATTATATTACTACTTAAAGAACCTGACCTAGATAAGACAAAATAAATTTATTTAAAAGAAAAACGTAATTTTTTCTTAATCATGTATTTTATTAAATATTAATGTGCATGGTCTTAATCTAATTAATTAGAAATTACTTCATTGATTAGTGTTCCGAATAATAATTTAATGAAAGAAATTTAAAAGATATATTTTTTTTCTTCCTGTAGTTCAACTATCTAATTATATAATACTTAGCGGCATCTCTCGGTGTTCAACAAGTTCATTTTAAAACTTAAACATGTAAAACTTCATAATTTTCTTTGATTGGTATCTAATTAAATTCATATCTATTCTTAACTATTACTAAAACTGTTTAATATTACCTATCGTTGTCATAGTATTTTACATAACAATGATACGATCAATCATAGTTTATAAATAAGTTAATAGCATTTTTTCCTATCAAATATCGAATGTCAATAACAAAGAAGTAAAAGTTTATAAGTATAAAATTACACTAGTTACGAAACAGAGAAAACGAAAGTGACTCTTCAAGATTAAATAATATCTATGTACAAATAAAAATCCATCATTTTGTTACATTTTATATTATTTTTTAGATCAATTATAGTAATTGCTGAAACCATTAAACAACGATAGTAACATACCCATGGCATCATCAAAAACACGTGATCCATGGCAACAGCAACAACAACAACCTCGTCTTCGTTTTAATACAATTACTCGTGAGAATATCACCGATATACAGGTAGACAATATGAACTAGATTTCAAAGGAAAAGCAAACATTACTAAAGTGTTATGAAATATAAAAGACGAATTTTGTTCTAAAGAAAACATATTGAGAATAAGCTTACTTCTTCTCCTTCTCTTCTATGCATTAGCTATTAAATATGAAAAAAAGACAGGCGAGAAATAAAGTAGACAAACAATTTATTTAAATTTTTTCTTTTTCTGAACATTTTTTTTTATTCTGCATAATTAACAAAATTGAATTGTATAATGGCTGCTAAGAAACATCAGATTTGTTTTTATTAACGAGTTGTCAAAATAGACTATTTCTCGATAAGTGCATTATTCAAATAAATTTCTTTTTTTCTTTCTCTCACTTTCTAGTACTACCAGAAGAATTAAAAATAAACAAATGCATAAATTATAAAGAACATAATTGAGTTCTTTGCTTTTCTTAGATTACTGATCACATCAGTTTCTAAGTGGTACTTCTTTCTTTTCTTTTTTTTTGATAATTTGCTAGTTTCTTCTCGATGATTGATCTGACCTTCTATCAGTTTCGTTTTTTTTTTAAATTTTTATTTGAAACTAAACAAACGAAATAAATTTTTTTGGGTATCTGATTAACATATACATTTGTTATTTTTATTTCTCATTTGTATTGGACGAGTGAGAAATCTTTAATTTCTTCTTCTGTTCTTTAACATACACAGACACACACATCAACTTACCTAACAACGCATATAGATATATGTATGTATACGTATATTTATATGAAAAATTCTTTTGATGTTATTATTTGATTTGATAGATGCATTGGTGTTGAAATATTAGACAGAAATAATAATAGTAGTGACAGTTATTTCTTTTTTTATATAAGAAAAACAAAAGAGCAGAACATTTATAGTAAGATGTTCACACGCTCGAGGCAAAATGTCTCGGTTGCTGAATATGCGGTAAGATTTTCCTGATATTTTACTCTATATATATTAAGATAGTTATTTATTTTCTTTCGATTATTCTAGCAACGTCTTCGTGATGAACGCGAACAAAAACGAGCAACTCTTGATGAACGACATCGATATTTATTCGATATTATTGCTACACGACTTGGTATCGACAAGTCTGAAGTTGAAGAAAATGTACTCGATAGTAATAATGTAAATCTAGTTTTCTTACTTTTGACTTAATCCGATATTAAATCTATCGACACTATAATTCAACCATGTAATTAAATTTCTGAAAGAAAAATGGTTTTTATTCTAGTTTCAACTTATGGATCAATTTTTTGTTGAAAATGGAAGTCAATATCTGGTTTTCTTTTATCAAGAACCTGAACCAGAAGTTCAACAAAGTGGAGGTAATTTATCATTTCGTTCTTCTTTGATCTTATTATAAACTTCTTCTAGCTGATTCATATCGTCGTGGTTTATCTCCATATACTAAAAGTGTGAATACTAGTATTCAAAAAACTTTGAAACCTAAAGTACTCATAGCTGATCTTCAAGAACAAAGTCTACGAGGTGTATGTCTTTGTTTTACACGTAATTCCAAAAAGGGTTCTATTACAGGACAAAATATTATTAATGTATGTTTTTGACAAATATTGATTTTTTGATTTTCTGATTAAGATTTTTTTAGGAAGTTTTTTTCTATACATTTGAATGTAATACTGAACCATTACTTCAAGCATTAAGTCGATCAATAGCTGATATATATTTACCATATCTTCAAAATTCAGATACAATTTGGGGAAAACTTACTGGTTCAGATAATAATCAAATGTTAAAAGTTGATTTTATTAGTCGATTAAATAATTTTGTTGCGACACTTAATAGTGCACAAGAAAGTATTAATGAACGAATTTTATTAAAACCATGTGATAAAATTGATTTAACACAATTACAAAATGCATCTGATTATATGTCAGTTGCATCAAATAATGAAAATCTTGCATCAATTGAAGAAACAATGAAAATATGGATAAAACAAATGGAACAAGTAAAATATTTATAAATTAAAATTTCTTTTTGTTCTATTATCTTATTCAATAAAAAGGTTTTAGCTGAAAGTGAACAGATTCGTCGTGAAGCCGATAATATTGGTCCACGAGCTGAACTTGATTATTGGAAAAAACGTATGACAAAATTTAATTTTTTACTTCATCAAATAAAAGGACAAGATGTAAAAGCTGTTTTAACAATTTTACAAACAGCAAGATCAAAACTTATTCAAGTAAATCTTTTTTTGCTTTAACAAAAAACAAATTATTGTATAACGAAATTTTTCTTTTCATTAGCAATGGAAATTATTAGATGCAAAAATTACCGATGCAGCTAATGAAGCAAAAGATAATGTACGATATTTATATACATTAGAAAGATTTTGTGAACCATTATATAATTCTGATCCTGTTGGAATGTTAGAAAGTATTCCAGGTTTAATTAATGCAGTACGAATGATTCATTCAATTTCACAATATTATAATACATCAGAAAGAATGACTTCATTATTTGTTAAAGTAAGTTATAAATAGATTAAAAAGAAGAGTTCTTGAGGGTGGGTGGGTGCGCGCCTTGCTCTTAACTCACATCCACACCCACCCACACCCACATCCACACTCCCAATACGAATATCTTTAAAATATTTCTTCTAATAATTAGATAACAAATCAAATGATAGCAACATCAAAAATGTATATAACAGATAATTATACTCAAACAATATGGTCACAAAATCAAGCACATGTTATATCGAAATTACGTGATTGTATTAAATTAAATGAAGAATATCAACGTTGTTTTCATTTAACAAAAACTAAATTAGCATTAACTCCATCTGAACGTCAATTTGATTTTAGTGAAATGTATATATTTGGAAAATTTGATGCATTTGTACGACGTTGTGAAAAAATTATTGATATGTTTACAAAAATTAATATATATTCACATTTAGGTGAATCAAAAATCGAGGGTATAGCACCATTTTTTTCAAAATTTAATATGATTATAACAACAATGAGAAAAAAAGATTATGATTTTTTGGATCAACGTAAACAAGATGTTGATAATGATTTAGCTGATTTTGATCGTTCAATAGCAGATCTTCATACGAGTATTAATGATTTTCTTGATAAATATTTTAATGCTATACGAAATACTGAACGAGCATTAGATGCATTAAAACGTTTTGAAAAATTACAAATACCAAATATTGGTTTAAATGATAAATATGCAAAAATTTTACAACAATATTCCAAAGATTTAGATTCAGTTGCAAAAATGTATCAAAAAAGTTCAAAAGAACCACTTATTTCCAGAGATTTACCACCAATTGCTGGTAAGATTTATCTGTATAGCTAAAGTTTAATATTATCTTTATTTTTAAGGTCGAATCACATGGGCTCGTCAATTATATATGCGTATTCAACAACCCATGGATATATTTGTTGCAAATAAAACTATACTTCAATATCCAGGAGCAAAAAAAATTATAAAAAATTATAATCAATTATCCAAAGTTCTTTTATCCTATGAAATATTATATCATGAAGGATGGCGTCGTCAAGTTAATGTTATTGCAACTGGTATACATTCAAGTTTATTAATATGTATTACTCGTGAAGAAATTTCATCAG